AAAAAAAAAAAAAAAAAAAAACAAATAAAATAAAAGAAGAAACAAAAGCTTAAATTGAAGATTTTAATAACAGTGAGGTCATAAGCTTACTTACTGTGTTCTCGCTTATTGGCGTACGATCGAATGTTTCTATATAAATATATGTAATGTGTAAATTATTTACCTTAATTGTTAGCTTACGAATTATGAATAAATAATTGAAGATAAATATTTGTAAAGGGGTTAAGTGAGTAAAGTTGAGACGGGACAATTTATTTCTAGTCAGAAAGAAGATTAACAATAAAATGAAGATAATTGAGGAAGAGATTAATTATGAGTAGAGAAGAAAAAGAGATTATTTAAAATATAATGTTTTATTAAATATCATGAACTCGGCTGGCTTGCGATTTCATCGTTAATTAATAAATAAACTTATAAAATTATATGATAAATTTGACATTTAAATTTATTATCACTACGGAGCAATTGAGTATGGCTAAAATAAACTGCTATATATGTCAGCTATCAGAAATAAATTTATGGTGATATATTCAATTTTCAAATAAAATAATGATGCATTATTGTACTGAAATATTAAAAAAATATTAAGGTGAATTAAAATTGACGTCTAATCTCGGTCACAACCAATATTTATTATTAGATTTATTAATTAATTATTAGAGATTAATTATACTATTATTATTATTATTATTATTATCATTATAATTATGATTATTAATATTATTATTTTAATTGATTTATTATTATTATTGCTAAAGCCATATAATACCTTTGTAAATGAGAACTGATGACGGCTAGGAAAACTTAATAAATTGAAATTCTATTAACCGAAATCTATTTAATAATTATTCAATATAATTTATTTGATGTTATTTTTTTTTTCCACGTCTCTTGGTTCTGCTTCTGTTTGTGTATTAAAAATATCCTTATTATTTTATCTGAAAAAATAAATTATAAGTATTGCCAAACATTAAATTTTACTTACATTTTCAAAACTTATTTTCTTATATCAGTTCTATTTAGTTATCCCATCATAAATTAATTTTCATCCATAAAAAAAAAAAATAACGCGCAATTTACAGTTAAAATTGAACATTTATTAATTAATACTATACATTTTAAAATATATCTATATATATATTTTCGAAAATAATTAAGCAAGATCTTAGAACCTTAATAAAGGTTTATTTTTAACAATATGTTTATCCAAGTGTTCCCAAAAACGCATCAGTGCAGCTCGATCCAAATGACGTTTGGTACGACTCAGTTCGATGACAGTCACAGCCCACTTGCCGACGTTCGCGTCGAGCTTCATTTCATCGTACTTCAAATGAAAAGCGCTGATTTTTGAAAATATCTCAACAGGATTTCCATCAAAGGGCCATCCTTTGAATTGCCAAGCAGGACCCATTACAAAAACAGCAACCACACGATCCCAGTCAGCATTCGTTAGCTTCTGAGGATTATCCACTACTCGATACGGTACCGTGAGTCCTCCCTCCTTTCTCCTCTGGAGGAGAATTTCATTTTCTCTCTTTGCACCACTGGACTTCTTTTCTTCATTGCTGACAAACTTCAAGTCCTGGAGAATCTCCTTGGCGTTAAACATCGTTATAAGCGATGAATTGGCACTGGGAATTATTATTATCGGAGTCCTACTGGGACGTTTGTTCTGCGCAGCTTGCTGAGGTGTGAGCTTAGCAGCCGAGGTCGGAAGAAGTCCTGAAGTCGGAGTTGAAGAAGGGTTTGGAATCGGCTTCCTCACAGCTGGGTTTGATCCTTCTGTCACTGATTTCAATGTCATTCCGTGGTAAGTTCCCATGGTGTCAATTTTAAAACCTTCAGTCTCTTCTTTCTGTCGAATAAATCTTTCCTGATCATAACGATTGTAAACCGCCGGCTGTGGGAGAGGCCTCATTGGTGTTGAACGCGGTGTAACCATCGGAGTTGGCACAGCTGGACCCTTGTGTCTACCTTCTTCTCGTGCTTTTATACTCTGCAGTATAGCGAATATATTTTTACCAAATATTTTACCGCTGCTCTGAAGAATTGTCGCTCGAGTTCTCCACTGTCTTTCACGAGAAACAATGTCTTTAGTGTCATCAACGTCCATGTCCAAAATTACTCGTAAATCAGATCCCATTCCTATGTCGTCATTTTCTTTAATTGTCGTACGTTTTTTGGCCAAACGTTTGGCCTTGATGGCTGCTATTTTTTCGACGGACATAGCCTCTGACAGAGACTTTATGTTGTCGACAGTTACTGAAGCCTCCTTCGGAGCATCTAGCCTGGCTGCCAGCTGATCTTTGACTCGCTGGACGTGTGTTTCTTCGAATCTTGGCTTCTTAGACAGACCTGCCTCCAGGCCATCCTCGGCGGCTCTTTTGACTTGAGTTGGAATCTCCAACGGAGCCGATTTGTCGATGGCTCCAGAAGTTGCGGTCTCGCCATTGAGATATGCCAGCAGATCCTTACGATCCGGACGACGCACCACGGGAATATTCTCCGCTGCGGCTTGTCGCACGTATACTGGATGGGTGAGTTGAACATGCTTTAATAAAAATAGTAGGCACTCGAGGGTATAGTAGTCCTTGGCTGTTCCTTCTTTTCCAGATCTAAAAGTAAAGGAAATAATTAATTAATAACAAATATTTAAAATTATTATTATTATTATTATTATTATTATATATTGGTTTTTATTAATTTATTTATTAAAAAAAAATTGAAAAATTCAAATGGAAATTAATTTAGCCGACTTAGCCGTCATAATTTTAATAATGTTTCTAATAAATAAATTGCTGCATAAAAAAAAATTTTTTTAAAATTGGCATTTAGAAATTTTAATAAATTAAAAATCCAATTTTTTTTTAAATAGTTTTTCGGAAGAAATTTTTTTGTTAAATAAAAAATTAAAAAATGGTCAAGTGACAGCTAACTTTAATATTATAAAATTCAATTTTAATTTCTGAAATAAGTAGACATCTTGCTATAAACAAATGAAAATTTTAAACTAAAATATATAGATATATTTTATACTAAAATTAACATATATCTGTCAATTTTTTTGATTTTTATAACTAAATTATTGTGAAAAAATTTTTAAAAATTCTACATCTAGAAATTAAAAAAAAAAAATTACAAGTGCAAATTTTTTAATAATATTTTTTTTTTTATAATTGATTTTTCATAAAAATTTGAAAGGTTAGCAGATATCTGTTGACTTCAATATCATATCATATATATTTAATTAAGAAAACCTATTATCATTTATAACAACTTATTTTTCATAACAATGTTTACTTTAATTAATAAGAGACTTTTTTCAGTTATCTCATTTTGATTAAATAAATTAATTACTCCTAAAGTAAAAATTTAAAAAATACAAACAAATTGTTTTTAAAACTTGACATTCATTTTTTATTTTTTTCAATACTTGAATAATCATGATAAATTCCCTAAAGTTGAATTTCATAATCAAAAAATTTTAAAAACTCATCAAATTTCTTAAAATTTTCATTTGTTTATGCAAAATAAAAAAATATATTAATGCCTGCTGTTTTATTATAATTGCATTCCAATTGAATCGTGTTGGTAACCAAGCAGACTGGCACCATAAACTCACTCTCAAATTGTCTAATAAAAAAAAATTACTCACCCGTAAGTTAGATAATTTGTTTTCACATTTTTTGGCCACGAAAATTCACCAAATATAATCTGATTTTCCCGTTCAATTATCTCTTTTTTATTAACATTATACTGCCGCAATAAACTCAAAGGATCCGCCATTTTTATGCACTGATTATCAACTCACACTACTTTTAAAACACAATCTTTCAATCCTGAGGACGACATTCACACGTGAAAGTATGGAGACTATAGTTGAATCGCGACTGGCGCCACCACGCGACCACTGACGATACCCATTTGAAAGCGCGAAATTTAACTATTAATAAAAAGTTCTTGTTAAAATGTATTTTTATTTTCTGAAAATTTATTACAATAGACTATGAATAATGAGATAGAAAAGAGGATTAAGCCATATAAATATATAAATTTACTACCTAATTGCTCTTGACTTAAGTAATTATAGAAATATATTAGAAAATATATTTAATTTCTTAAGAAATATAACAAGTGTAAAAAATGAGAGAGATAATCTGAGGCAATTAGTGACCCTTATTTATGACGAGTCTAGATGTTTTAATGTGTGTATTTTATTATATAGAATTTACTATTATTTGACATACATTAAGTGTTATGTATGAAATATTAAATGTATATAACTTGTTAGAGAGCAAGTTACTTTTTGAATTCCTTTACAATAAATTACATTGGCTACATTTCCGTTCGGATCACTCAGATGACCCCACCAAGTCGGTAACTTTAAATTTAAATAAAGTTTTCTATCGTTGTCCACCAGGAGGAGGATATAACACCTGGTGTTTTTTTAGTAATCTTTCTTACCGACAAACTACCAATCTCAAAATAAATTGGATCAGTTAGACCAACTATTTTTTTTTAAAAACGTACAGATTCATAAAAACCGTTGAATCTTTTCTCGTTTTAGTTTTCAAGCAGATCAAGACTAACAACATGGACATGGAGTGACAATTCACTGACTTTTAATAAATAAATTAACTGTTAACATTTATTATAAATGAAAGTTAATCACAAGACTGACCACGTTTGTTTAAATAAAACAGACTAGGATAATTACGACAAGTATTAATTAATTAATTAATTAAAAAAAAATAACATAATTCTGAGAATTGATGAAGCTGCTTGTTTGCGACTGTTAAAAAACTAACAAAATAATGGAAGAATTAATGTCAACTCCGATTAAAAATTCACTTAAACGAGAGTCATCATCTCCAATGAGCCCAGTGATTTATAAAACACCTTTGAAGCAGTTTGAAGCACGGAAAAATTATAACAGCAATGATAGATCAAGAGGAATTTCTATGCTGTCTAGTCATTGCACACCACCCTCAGGTTTGACTAAATTTATTGCCAGGAACCCGTTTGATGCTGAACTTACTAATCGACTTCATATGTCAGTAATCAGTCCTACGATATTCAGCAAGGTAATTACATTTTTAAATAAATTAATAAAAATGAATTTAGCTGACATTTCAAAATTTATAGAAATTTTTTATTGAAATAATTTCAATAAAACAATTAAAAAAAAAAAATTGTCATATGTAAAAAACTTGAAAAATTATAAGTGCAATTTTTTAGAAATATCTTTTTAGTTGTAATTTAATTAATAAAAAAAAAATCAAAAATTTTTAGACGTCTGCTAACTCCAGTGTCATATAAATTACTTGTTCTTATACTATCTGTACAATCTATCTTAAATAATTACAACCAATTTATTAAATTTTTTATTTTTTTACGGTTAGGTGCCGACAAAAACACATGATTCTCCTTTTTCATGGACGATCGATGAGTTGGCGATGTTGAAACCCGTAGCGATTGAAGAATTTTCTCTCCAGCAGTCTCACGCATCCGACCCGGAAGTCGAGAAGAGAGCCCAGGAAGCTATAAATAAATTTTTTAGTGCTAAAGAAATTCATCCGAGCCCATGGAACGAGCGGCGAGAGTCAGTTAAGCAGCTTATGACTACTCCTGGTAGCTTGATCGAGGAAATCGATAGTGAAAAAACTGAAAAAACTACCAGAGATTGTAAATTACTTTTATTATTATTGATTTTTTCTATAAGAACATTGAGTAATAACTGATGTTTGTTTATCTATTTAAGGTTGGGCGCAAACAGAATTGTCTCTTCCACCAAAGCTACCTCAACATGTCGAAGATGCTCTGAAACCATTCTTTACTTTTACACAAGACCAGCAGGTCGATAATGACGAAGCCAACAGTTCGAGTAACAGTTCCTTGAGGAGAAAATTATTCTTTAACCATGACGATTCAATAGAAGATGACTCTGAGTGTTCGCTGATTTTGTCCCCGTCTAAAATAAATTCTAGTCCTCCTCGCAGTGGAATGATGGCTCATGGAACGCTTATTGGGGTAAATTATTTTTTATACATTTTTTTTAAATAGTTTTTCAGAAGTAACTAACTTTAAATAATTTTTTTTTTTTTTGTTTGTTATTATAGGAAGGATTAAGTAATATGCAGAGAACTTATGATACATCATTTAGACCAGATAAATTAATTTCACCACCGGACATGTCGCCTATATGTAACCCATCAAATAATTTATCTAACAATAGTCTTCGGTCGCGTAGATCTGTAACGCGACTTGATTTCTCTGCACATATGAGCGTTGACAGCTCGTACTTGGAGGAAAAAGAAAATAATAATCCTCAATTGGCTGCTAATCAAGGTACAATTAATCAAATTCAATTATTTTTATTTAAACTTTTTTTTATTTTTTATATTATTACTAGCTATTACTCGCCTGCTCCGCTAGGCGCTTTATAGAATCATATTTTTAGATCTAGAATTAAAATTTAAGGAGGTCCTTTCGCCGCCAATGTAAAATAAAAAATATTAGATTATGAGTAAATTCAATTTTTTTCTAATAGTTAAGGTCCTTATTTATCTAATAGTGAGGTTTAAATTATACTTTACCGGACAAATTTTTGAAAAAATAAAATTTTTAAATGTTAGTATTTGTTCAGAGTCTTACGAGAAAGTCAAACATTTGCAGTATTTCTCGAATTATATACTATCAGTTATGGATTAGATGAAGTAAAAAAAAAAACTAAAAATTAGATTTTCAAAATATTCAGGTTTCTTTTTTTGCAATAAAATATATCAATTACCGAGATATTTATTGAGAAATTAATAATTAAAAATCACAAAAAATTCTCAAGCAACCTACGTTAAAATGGAGTCAAAACATTTGGCAACATTGCGTAGCGCGCGAGCTTCAGACCACTCAATAAATTCAAACTAATTTATTTATTTACACTGAATGTAAAAATTTAAACGTGGTTAAGGTTATATTGTACAAATGAAAATGTAAACAACCGAAGAACAGCTTTGCCAAATCACGGACAGGTTACTAGCAGCTGATTTGAAAGAATCAAATTAATTTTTGTATTTAACTAATTTTTTTTTT